GAAAATATATATAAATATGTAAATACAAAATCTAATGAAGTCTATGGGTTGTCCTGAATCGGTGAATATTATACAAAAGTCCAAAGTAAGCTCACAATTCATTTATAACAATTTCACAAAACTGTCACAAGTACAAAGTTTAAAAAAACAATGCAAACAATAAACACTGTAAATATACACGTTCTACACTTGAACTCGACAAGCCAGGACGATCGGTCGGTGACCTCAATTGATTTGAGAATGCAGATCAGTAGCTAATAAATAATAAGTCACCAATAAAGGGGCGAGTGATGTGCATCGATATGATATACTAACATTGTTATCATAAATTTATGATATACAAGAACAATGCACAAAAAGCAGCAAAAATTTATTTTGTATTTCTACCGTCTGGACACTCGCATGACCGACATACAGTCAACAAACACATAGGGGGCGTAGAAAAGGGCTACCACACATTTAATTAAATTGAACATGTATACACATACATGTAATTTTGAACATACAAAAGTTGAAAATCGTTCTCCTGTTTTTTTTTTAAATAGTCACCCATTACTAAGGATGCAAATCTTATCGTTAACATGTCAAAGATTAAAGTCGTTATAATCTGTTTCACGCTTAAAACTGATAAAATGAAAACGTTGTCAAATGTTAAAAATTACCAGAACACCTTATGATATATTAGTATGACAAACGTATTTGGGAATGCTGGAAAATTAATAATGTTTTCAAACTGTAAACATAATAAAATTTTAAGAAAATATTATTCACTTCTTTGAGGTACTTTCTCATAGTTCCGGAATTCTACAAGATCTCAAATAACAGGCGCTTAAAGGATTGGGCTCTTCTTTCACATTTCATTTTTGAAAATTAATTCAAAATTGGAATACAGGGGCATCGGTCATACACTTTTCTTGTTTTTAAATCAAACGAAAAAGCACGAATACGTTAAAAAGTGGAGAAATAAGTTAAAGTACTGAACAAATTAGAAACTTTACTTAAATTAAATTGAAAATAAAACAAAATTAAAAAAGTAGCATTCCCCAAGCGAATGCAACTCCAATATGATGGGCTTGGTTCTTTGTACCCTATTTTCTATGATTTGTTTTTTCTATTAGTTAGACAGGGACAAAAAACGGGGAAACTATGTCCACCTCCAATGTTAAGCTAAAATGTACAAATTTAAACTAATTCCTGAATATGAAAGAGGACAATGACTAACTTTTAGACTATTACACTACTCTGTTTGTCACATTCAGAAGTTGCACCTACCTTTCCACACACCCACACTTTCCAGTCTACTTCATTCTTATAAATGGACTATTCCTATACGGAGATATACAAATACGTGACGCTGAAATAATTTTAGCTGCGGCAGAGGGGGCATTATTGTTTAACCATTGTCCGACTGTACGTCTGTGTTCGTTCTCTTACTTTAGTTTACTTCAACCAAATGGTATGAAATATACACAATGCTTTTCACTACCAAACTCAGATAAAGATTGGATTTGCATGGCGTAACTTTAACCGTTCTTGCGTTATGTCCCTTTGTAAATTGATGTTTTTCTAAATTTGATTTTGTTTTGGCCCCTAGTTACTAAACAGCTTCGCCAATAACTCCAAAATAAAGCCCAACCTTCCTATTGTAGTATGGAACCTTGAGCTAAAATGTCATAGAGATTTAAATTCTTATACTCAAGTTATTGTCTACGAACCAATTTATTGTCTATAAACGAGTGAAATGCTTGTTTTTTGGATCATGTTAGGACCATAATTAAAACGGATACGATAATATTCCACAAAATCAATCATAACCTTCCTATTGTGGTATGGGACCTTGTGCTAAAATTTCATAAGGATCTATACACTTATACTCAAGTCATTGTCTGCGAATCTAAATGTCGTCGTTCGCCAACGCTGACATCGCCATAACATTATTCGAACGCCAAAAAACATTGCGGTCGTATAAAAAGCCCCGATGTCAATATATGAAAAAACTGGATTGCTTCAAATGCCATTAGTGCCGCTGAACCAATATGTACATATGATACATATGCGGTTAATTGGGATGTTCCAGGGAGGTATTTTGCCAATAGAAACATAAATTAAAGCTAGTTCTGCAGGATTTTTTTTCGCAAATGACTATTTTAACCCAGTTTTACACAAAACTTCTACAGCCTGTTATACTTATCATTTGCTCTTTTAGGATGAAAATGATAACTTTTTATGGAAATTTTGTTTTTTATTTCAAATCTTTTTTTATTGTTACTATTTACCAGAACGTTTTCTTGTGAATTTATAACTAATAAGTTTTCTTGCTTAAATTGAACCAACATTGCAAAGATCAAGTTTTAAGTGTTTACAGGGGAGGTAATATTTCAACACTAGATTTCCCACTGACAGTATTGTAATACAAAGAAAAATATCTAGAAGCCCTTGGTAAAAATTAATATCTGGGAACATTGCAAAACAATTCGCCCTTTACACAGGCAATTTCAAGTTCACTGAAAACAGAATTAAATCGGTAAATAATTATTTTAAAAGAATAGTTGCAGTCTTATAAAACAATCAAATATAGTTTGTAAAAATTATGTAAGCACGTCATCTACAATGTAAAAAAAGTCATTTCTGACACAATGCGAAATGCTTGATTTCTAACAGCATAGGATTCACAATTTCCTCCCTGTGTGAATAAAAAAAAACATCGCTACAATCTCCATCGATTAGTCACCACAGTGGAGGCATGACATGATTTGCCTGCCTATACTCTAATTTGATAACTGACAATAAGTCTCATTCACTACACCGAAAAGCGGACGCAATATATGTTTATGCTGTATAAATGAAGATGGTACAACCTTTGCCACGAAAAGGTTCACCTACAATCTAAATCAATGCAAACATTTTGACATACGGAATTTGGAATTGGTATCAGATATAGGATTCATTAAATTTAAAAACATTCTGTTTGAAAGTAATATATGTTAAAAGCCCGGTTTATTTATCAGCGGATGCGGATCCAAGCAGGGAACACCTGGCGTCCCTACACCCCCCACCTCCCCCCCTAAAAAAAGAGCCTATTCTGCGTCTAAATATAGTCCTCTAAATCCTACTTCTAAGGAGTGACACTCGATATCCAACGCTAACCCGAGTATAAGTGATTACAAGAAATGTTTCACTTGTCTGATATGATGTCGGCACATATTCTTTCAAAAGTTTATTGTTTGTATGTGCATATTTATATTATTAATCTACGGTATATATCAGATCAAGTCATACGATTAAAATGCTATTTGTTCTGTTTAATTTCAACTGCAATAAAACAGGATTATCTTTCTTGATTTGCGAGTTCTGAATTTTGAATTTTGAATTCTGAATTCCGAATGATCCTTCTCGGCTTTCGTAGAAAATAGATATTAACTCCTCTGTTGCCCATAAAAAAAATACCGCAAACGTCTAGAATATTTACCTAAAAATAACTAAAATAATTGTAACATAGTTATAGTAAATTGCACTAACACTCGTGTCCGTGAAACAGTTAATTAGCATCCGTGCTAATTTGACTCTTTCTTCGTACTTTTATTGTTGGAAAACTGTCTCATACATGTTTAAGACGATTTTTGACAGCATGCAGAAACATTCCAAAATGGAAAGACGATAAATATATACACTTTTTTTTTTGCGGTATAATTACCTATAGAAACTTGCACAGTTTAAGTGAACACATCAATTATTTTCTTCAAAGGTTAAACGACTGCTCCCAGTTCGTACTACGGTTGGTAATTTAGAAATTCGGGTACCTTGTATACGTTCGAAATTACCTGTTAGAACTATTATTATTAAAAGTTTCTTGCAAATTTGCTATTAAGACATGCTTTTATTACAGTTTGTGTTAGCCTTCGAAAATAATTATCGTTGATAAGTGTACTTTACTAGAAGCAAATTTATTTTGATGTATCACAACGCAACCACGCACGGGTCGTTTTATCCATTGCTTCAATTAGGAACATAATTTTGATCTGTACATGTTAACATCTTGCAACAATTATTTGACCCATCTGTGAGGGTCTTGTCAAACTGTTTACCCCTATTAAACATAGCATAGTTCCACAGTGACAGTTACATTGTTGTCTTAATTAAGTATGTTAAAACTTTTGGAATCGATTGTCACTGGTGAGTCTTTTGTAGACAAAATGCTCATCTGGCATACAAATATACTCATCATAGATATCAGGACTAACATTTCTAGATGAGACGCGCGTTAAATCTAAATCCTAGTATATTTGATGATTTTCTTTATAATAAGCGCTTTGCTGCTTCAAGCTCCAAGTGACGTGGTCTTATCCTTGATCTTTATTTAAAATTTACCTACTCTTTTATCATAAACACTTCCACATATTGTTGTTCCAAATCCTTCTTAGCAATACCCTTATGACAAAACTTTTTAAATTTAACAGATAGTGGCTTCAAAAACATAGGGTAAAGGGTGTTGGCAATACCATGAGACTTTTGTTGTGAACATATATACCCTCAATACTATATTTGTCAATATTGAACTTATCGTATAATATATTAATATCCATATGCTCTCTATGTCTTTTTTTCGTTTTGTAACAATCATAAACGTGTGTCATCTTTTGATCATTGAAACTCGAAAAAGATACAAACTTTTTTTAAATGCTGACAGTCTTTAATTTTACTCGAGCTACGCTAGTACTACCTGTTAAGTTCGAATGATTCCTGTTCAGTAGCAGCCATCAAAAATACAATATTGTCCATTCATCTTCAATGACATATCGCGGAGGCAATGTGTTTTCTCTTCAAATGGTTCGATGTCATAGCATGAAATAAAATGGTTTAACCATTCACACATACAGTTAGGAATACATTATGATATTGCTTTTTTGAGTAAGACCTGACTAAAAAACAGTTGTATAGTTTGGTTAACACAATTTAGTAATTCTTGCTTATTTCCTAAAAAAATAACACTTAATTAATACCTGTTTTTTACATCAACTCGTATCACAATGGGATGATATAGAGTTGAAAGAACAGTCCTATTGCTTCCATTTAGACTACATCTTGAGAGTCTGTGTGTATTATAATCAACCCAGTAGAGATGATCATTGGTTGAATCAACAGCTATTCCTATTGGATATGATAATGACTGGATAACTGTCTGTAATGTTATGTTCTTCGAGGAATATGGAAATCTGTATGAATAATAAAAAGTCATTGGCATTAAATAGATTCATTAACTTTACTGATCTAATAGAAAAACAAAGGATATGTATTTTACACTTAAAACTCTCCAATGTCTGATTCATATTACACACACACAATGTTTAATCCATTACATCATGATCATAGTGGAATAGTGTAAATAATTTTCAATGACAAATCGATGGGGTTTATTTCAAAGAGATAACTTAAGATTGTGCCACTAATTTGAACGATTGTTCAGAAATATTTATTTTAAGATATCAATTAACGCTGTACATGATAACGAAAACATTACCAGTACTAGTAAAACATATAAGTATTCCATTGTTTTCCTTTTTTCAAAATCCACTAATGTTATCTTTCATTTCAAACTTATTTGAAACTATTAATGTAAGTTGTCATATGTCATATGAAACTTGATGATGTTTTAAGAAAAAAATTTGTTTGGCCAAGTTACATTTGTACTAAGATTAACAGAAGATTATCAAAATTATCGAAAAGAAAAAAAAATACTTAAAAGGGTAATAACTCATTAAGGGGTAAATTAAACATTTTGGTCATATTACCTTGGACATTTCCTGAGGAAATATGTACACAATGGCACTCTCTCTTCTCTTTTTATATTATCGCACTTCAAAACATCATGAATACACATGGCAAGATAAGAGTACATAAATCTTATTAATTTCTCTCTATGTATTATTTATCTTCAAGATAATAACCAAAAACAGCAGCATGTCCATAAATTATCAATTCAGTGGCAACAACCCTACAGCCTACTTAAATAACAGCTAGGCAACAAGTAACAACACTGTGTAGGCGCCTCATTAGGAACAATTAAATATGATGAATAAGAACATGTGGTATTAGTGCCAATGAGACAAGTCTCCATTCAGGTCACAATGTATTTAAAAGTCAGTAATTAATGTCAAATACCGGCCTTCTAAACAAAGCCTTGGCTTTGGATCCATTCAGCTTTTCTTTATAAGACACTTTGAAAATTTCATGTATTTCCAATAGGTTCTTATGGTACACTAAGGCCCCTTCTTGAGGCCATCTAGGATAACAAATCGTATAAAAGGTAACAACACTAATTGGTTCACACCTCAGAAGGAACTTTCATGTCATATTTGATTTCATTCCATTTAGTTGATCATATAAGAACATTTTTAAATGTTTTTCCTATAATTAGGTCTCCCTTTGGTGGCCATCTTGGATGACAAATCAGTTACAAAATCGAAAACCTGGATATTACCGGGTAAGCACCTCAGAGGGAACATTAAAGCTATGTTTGGTTTCATTCCATTCAATGGTTCTCTAGATGAAGACATTGGTTACATATTTCCCATAGTGTTCTATTCTAAAATAAGGTCATCCTGGCAAAGAATGCACAAAGGTTTTTTTCAGTTCAGCCACAATAGAAAATAATACATAAAAATCTGCTTGAATCTTAAGTCAAGCCAATTTTTATGATAAAGAAACGATAATTATTAACTTAGGAATATGTTGGAAAAAAACATAAGTGTCACTGATATTCTTTTTGACCTTATTAGCTGTCAACACTAGTTATGTTTTCTATTTTCCCCTTAAATGTGTATTTTGTACAGAGGCGAAAATTTACTCGCTTTCGTTGTGGTCCATGGTGTAAGTCAAGGACTGGAAATTTTGTTCTGATCCTTCAATACTATTTGTCTAAATTCGGGTGTCTTCCTTCGGCTGTATGTATAGATGACCGGCAATAAACAATTGATAGTGTATTGTATAGCTCAGACATTTTGCATATGGACAGCTATACAACAGTATTACAATTATAGAGTATAGCAGAGTATACATATATTTATTTGCAAACAGCCAGTGATAGTAGTTTTATTGCAAAGGTTAATTTTCAATTATAAGAATAAATAAGAGTTGTAAGAAATGAAAATATAAACTGTATAAAAAAAAACAGTAAAACTAATATATAGATGAAGGAGAATGTACAAGAAAATTATAAAATCTGTTTCTTTAGGCCACACCAATTTATTTCCTCGTTCCACGGACCCTCAGGCCCCCCTCCCCGCACATGTTTGTTTTTCTAAACAGCGAACTTTTAAACTGTTTCTAGCATTTACACAGATTTTTTACCAAAGGCAAGGACAGTTTGATGCCGATTATCGTTGTCAGAATAAAGAACGCATAAGGAGAAGTGTTGCCTTCAACTGAAATATCGTTTGCCGGCAGAACAAAACTATTTTTACCCTCTGCATGTTTATGCAACTGTCCTGAGTCTGGAGCCTGTTGTTCAGTAGTTGTCGTTTGTTGGTTTGCTCCGTTTGTATAAGATTAGATCGTTGGTTTTCCTGTTTGAATTGTTTTACACTAGTCATGTTGGGTCCTGTATAGCTTGCTATTCAATCTGGGCCAAAAGCCACGTGTTGACGGCCGTACTTTGACCTGTAGTCTGTAACTGTTAACTTCAAATACATTATGACTTAAATGGATAAATGTCTCATTGGCACTCATATCACATCGTATTTATATACAAAATACCAAAAAGACAAAGAACAAAAAACAAAAATGAGAACACCAAAACGACGGAGATACAGATAACCAACATGTATCACAAAAACACTAAAAAGTACAACAAAATCAATGGAGATCATTTAAAGCAGTTTAAATATTTATTCAATTATTAAGTTCAAGATTTTATGTCCTCAGAAACTAACAGAAATACAAGAAGTCATAAATATGTTGCAATTCAAAAGGGGCTTTACATGTCTAGGTGAAAAGGAAAATAACACTTCAGCAGTTGAAAATTAAAAAAATGTCAAATCAAGTTTCATACGATCTTGTTTTGATCAATCTTGTCAGAACCTAGGATTTTATGTTTACAAAAAGAAAATATTATTCGCTCGCCTCTACTTTTCGAGTCTCGCCTTAAATATTTGCAAATTATTTTTTTTTATTAAAATTTTCAAATCGCTCGCTCGCCCCAATTTTTGGGAGTGAAAACAACCATAGAACAAGAAATTAAATTTGTGTGGCATTAATATATATATATGTATAATTTTCTTGTACATTCTCCTTCATCTATATATTAGTTTTACTGTTTTTTTTTATACAGTTTATATATATATATATATAAACAAGTCTAAATTGAAAACAACGTTCAAACCTATGATTGCGATGGATAAAAACCGCAATTTTTATACGTGTGCATGCAAAAACAAATTTCTTGTTAGAGGGGTCTAAATACAGCACAAACAACATTTTCCAAAAGACCAAAAAAGTGAAAAAGTATATTTTAACAAAACGCATTTGACTAACAGGTCGAACAACAAATGTTCTTAAACCCTGCTGACTGCCATTGGCGATTGCCAAATAAACGGATCACAAGGTGTAATAAATGGATCTTAATTAAAAATTTAATACCAAACAGAAAACAATAAACTTGCGGCAAAGATGGTATACCTCAAACAAAGGTGCAAAGATTTTTGTGCACCATATCCGGATTTCGACAATTAATGTCTCTTCAGTGATGTTAGGAATCGAAACAGTATTTGGAAGGCCATGTAATTTACCTCAATTTAGGATAGACTCTCGAATTTTGAGGAGTCAAATTAGGATGAACGGATCATATAAACCCGAAGGCAAATATAATACAAGCCCAAACGAAAAAATATAAACAAGTCTAAATTGAAAACAACGTTCACACCTATGATTGCGTTGGATAAAAACCGCAATTTTTATACGTGTGCATGCAAAAACAAATTTCTTGTTAGAGGGGTCTACATGCAGCACAAACAACATTTTCCAAAAGACCAAAAAAGTGAAAAAGTATATTTTAACAAAACGCATTTGACTAACAGGTCGAACAACAAATGTTCTTAAACCCTGCTGACTGCCATTGGCGATTGCCAAATAAACGGATCACAAGATGTAATAAATGGATCTTAATTAAACATTTAATACCAAACAGAAAACAATAAACTTGCGGCAAAGATGGTATACAAAGATCGGTCAGTGCTGTTTATTGAGAATGTATTTCCACGCAGTTGTTGTAACATCTTAACTGTCGTCATTTTGGAATTTTAGAGTTGTGCCAGTTCATATCGCAAATCACTAAATTTTATTTTAGGTATATCTTTGAGTCTTTGTGTCGTGTTTGGGAAATTTCAAAATTGTACTAGCGTCTCTATATATGATGTTCGGGTAAAACTGTTTAACTGTCAAGATTGCTATAGTTTTATAATCAGAATAGATTGGTATGATTCATTTTACATCGTGATCATACTGATGTAGGATATCTGTTATCCGAAATATTTAACATTTGTTCATTGTATTATTATGTTTTGGTGATGTTGTACCCTTTTAGACTGGTTATATATTATATTTTGTAGTGTACTGTATCATAATTATATGATCCATCGCCCCGTAAGATTTATCGTTGGCTATTATTTAGTCATTTATATATATTTAAAAATTAAATACACAAAAAGAGTTTTAAAAGCAGCATTGTCTACCGCTTTCATCCATCTTTGGACTTTTCAAGACTATAAACGTCGTTATGGGGAACACATTAGTATTATGAGGCAACGTCATTGTTCGTAACATATTAGTATTATGACGCAACGTTCTTGTTCATGTAACTGCTAAGCAATAAGCATGGAGTCAAACACTTTTATGAACTTTCTTTCTAGTTCTTCACGGTATTCTTCTATTGGTTCCGTTCATTTGATGAACGGGAAAAATTTTAATTTTCCTCCCGCAAAAATGTCTAAATGTTCGCTCAACGGAATTTTTTTGTACTCGGGTTGCCGTATTTGATGTTAATGGATCCTGACCCGTTCCGTTCGCACACACTATTTCCTGTTTGACCTATGTAATTTTCTTTACAGTTGACACATGTTATACAATAGAGTAAATTTTCTGATTTACAAGTCATATTTGCGTTTACTGTAAATTTCTTACCATTTTTGAAATAGTTCGTACTGCCGATTTCTAAATAATT